CCAGCCAAGCCCCCGACTGAGCCTTCAGAGCCAGGAATGTCCGGATTTCCTGCTCTATGCTGTCATTGCTGTCCACAGAGCTGCTGTCCCCGTCGCAGCAGGAAGGCACGGTTAGGGGGCAGGAGAGCGGGCTGGCAAGCGGGGGTCTCTCACTGCCCCCCGCGGGGGCAGGCAGGATGGTTTTGGAAATGTCCAAGATTGCTTCGGCGCACATGAGCTCAGCAGACGTGTCTGCCCGGCACGGCGGCCGATCCACAAGCTCATTTTCAGCAGCTCTGGGATCTCTGGGTGGCTTGGAGGGGTGGTCAGGGCCACCCGGGCTGAGGTCCACGGCCTTCGGGGCCACCTGCTTCTTCCTGCCTGGTGTCTTCCTATGGGTTTCGGGCAAAGCACCTTTCGTGGAGTGGCCTGCACTGTGTGCCGGAGGGTCGGGCCCCTTCCCCTCCCCGAGTGGCGTTCTCTGCGGCGGGTCTCTGCCCGCCTCCTTCCTCTTCTCCAGCTGATACAGCTGGATGGCCTCCTCAATGCCATCGTCACTGCTGGAGCCGGATGCCTTGCACACCAGGGCTGTGCTCTTGGCTCGCTTCGTCCTCCGCCCGGCGCTCCTCCTGACCGCACCTTTATTCTGGGCTGCTTCTGCAGGACGGCCAGCAGCAGTGGCTGGCTTCGCGCCATCCGCACTCTCCGGCTCAGCAGTGGCCTTGGACCTGAGGCCACGGGGCCGGGTGCTCACCTTCGCTAGCCTGGGAGGTTTCCGGAAGAGAAAGTCCTTGCAGGGTCCCATCACTTCCTGCCGATGTGCCTTGGCCATCGGCTCTTTGCTGGATCTAAATGCCGATCTGGCTGCATTATCGCTGGGGTCTGGTTTCGTGTTCACGGAAACATCACATCTTGGGGTCTCCTGTTGTCTTTTCTCGTTCAGAAACTGTTCGATCTCCGCCTGGATGCTCTGCTCGAAGGAGTCGTCACTGCTAACGCTAACCGGGGAGGCGGAGCCCCGGTCCTGGCCCGCTCCCATGTGGCTGCCAGGGGCGCCTCCTGAGCTGGGTGCAAACTTCGGGGGACACGGGGCAGTCGGGGCACTACTCAGAGGAACCTCTGGTTTGGACCGCCTGCCCCCATCTGTGGCCCCAGGTGGCTGGGCGGCCCCGCTCTTGGCCTTTAGGTACTCCTGGATCGCTTCCTCAATGTCCCGGTCCACCGAGTCGTCACTGTCCGAATCCAGCACCAAGGGGCCAAAGTCTGCGGCCTCCTCCTCCCTCGAGGGGACAAAATCAGCACCGAGACCACAGGCAGCAAACGCAGGGGTGGCAGCCGGCCTTGTGTCCCGGCCCTTCTCTGCCCTCTGGCTTCTCTGCAGGGCAAGCTCATCGCTCATGCCCAGAGCAGCCTCGTCCCTCTGGAGCGTGCTGATGACCATCTGCACTTTGGCACTCACCGAAGCTCTCGAGACGCCCTCTTTCGGCTCCGAGAAGCACCCGGGAAACCTAAAGCCCCCCGGTGTGCCAAAGGCCTCCCATTTTGACTGGAGAGCAACCACAGGAGGGGCGTTCATGAGAAACATTCTAGCAGACGGGGAGGGACGTGCAGAGAGGCAGTTCTTTATCTTTCTGCCCCTTTCACATCCTGAGAGGAAAGAGAGGATGTTGGTCCGACGCCACTCTGTTGGTACACGCGGCCGCGGAGAAACAGCCCGCCGGGCCAGAGTCCAGAGGGCCGGGTTAGAGGCTGAGGCCCGGCGAGCCGGGGGCGCCGGGCAGGTCACTCATGCCTCCTAGGCCTCGGCGTGCTCAGCTGCAGGGGAGGCGGGCTGTGGAGACCGAGTTAGGAACCGCTCTGAGCCATGGGCACCGCGCTCATGCAGAAGCACGCACCGGCGTCCCTCCCCGTCCTGCGCTCCTCCTCGGGCCTTCCATCTTCTCTGCAAGAGAAGCGGGATTTTATAGCAAAGGCTGTCAAGAGGTGCCAATGAGATCAAGTCCGCACGTGCTTCTTCGCGGGTTAAAGAGAATGACTATGTGAATCTAAGCCTAGTGAGACTTCGCGGGTCATTGCATTCTTGATGCGAAAAACAAGCTCCTGAAATAAAAAGTGACGTGAGGTGAGCAATTAAAAAACGATTTCCCCAAACATCCCAAAAGAGTCCCTTATACTAAAGCCTTTTTATTTAGAAATGTCAAACGCGTATCTGTCAGGTAGTCTTATGGGCTCGGATCGCTCTGGCTAGCTAATCAGCAGAGAAGCCGCCCCAAACACCGTCCTGCGTCCTTTTCCATCCTGGTCGTTACTCTGGCCCCCGCATCTCAGACCAAAGGTGGCTGCACCAGCAGATCTGTTGGGCCGGTCTTGTGAACACTTGGAAGGCCTGCTCACACACAGCCTCTCCACTAAAGGTCAGGGACCACCACTGCAGAGGGGAACATGGTGTACTCGGTGAAGAGTCACTTAGAAAATATGCCACGTCACATAACTATTCATCCCTAACCAGTTTTTCCCATCTCCCCTGACCACCCGCACCCCCTCCCAAAAATTGGAATGCAGAGCAATTGAGATGCAAGAGAACAGCTCTGCAGCATTTATATGAACAGGGAAACGGATTTCCACCCCATAATAGTACCACGCGAGGCTGTCACCACCCTTGCAACGTCAGTGGGTAGACTGGAACTGGCCTATCTGCTTTGCTTTCAACATGGATCTTCCTCTACCAGGAGCTTCTGTCCCGACAAGCATATCACCTTGTGTTTACACACCACAGTCCTTTCCAAGAAAGCGTGGCCGGCCACCTAGGCGCAGACATGCCCAAGCAGGTGCAACCAGCAATTAACCAGAGGGCACCACAAATTCAGAAGCAAGCCGTTTGCTATTATGGATTCGTGCCCAAAGAGTGAAACTGTACTGTAAAAGCATTTATTGTAATTCCTTGAAATTCTCAAGGCCAGTTTCAGTGGGACGACACAGCAGGCAACGTTTGCAAAGCATTTCGGGGATTATGTCTTCATCCCCCCTGGGCATCCTCTGCTCACTTCTGAAAAAGACTTTTGACTGCCAGGGTAAAAAAAATCAGAAACATCTAGTTCAGTGGTTGGAGCTTCAGCTAGTAAAGATATATATACATATATATATATATATATATTTTTTTTTTTTTTGAAAGAAAGAGCATGAATTTAAGGGCTCGAAATTCAAGTTTGGAAAAAGTTAATCCTCAGACCAAAGACAGTTAATTGCAGTGAATTCACAACTGTCCTGGGTCACAGCTCGGATGCTGGAGGGAGCCTGTTGAGCTACCTGCCAGTTCTCAGACCCTGGTATCTCACCGTGGCCACAGCCTCTCCCAGAACATCGCCCTGTGGGGAGGTTCCCCAGTCACAGAGCAGTGGGGATGGCAAGGGTTGGGAGAGGGCCTCTGCACTGGCCCTGGGGGGCCTGGGCCCACCTTGCTGTGCTCATTATTCAAGCTGCCCTGGCAGAATGACAGAGATCCTGAGATGTTCACATCGGCCTTGGACTGCGAAGTCTAAACCAAGAATGTTAACTCCTTAAGCCGCAATAATACAATTTTAAAAAACGGGCCCAGGGATGAACCCAAAGGCGCTGGGCTGCCGTAAGTAAGTTCTACACTAGGTAGCAGAGTTGTGTGTGTGCGGGGGGCTTAGTCTGGTCTCTACTGACCACGTTCCCTGCGTTCTACCGGGACTCCCAGTGAGCGGTGTTCTGAACTGTCAGATCACCTCCTGCCAGACTGAGGTTAAAATTCAGAGGGAACCTCCCAGCGACAGCTCGTGGCTTTAAAACAGTCAAGCACCTAAGATGAATCACTCTGAAAAACTCCCCAGAACTATACTTGGAGAGAAGTGTGAGCTGCAGCGGGGCTCCCCCGGCTTTGTCAAGCGGGGGCCCTGTATCCCCAGAGCCCCGAGCCAGGTATGGAGGGTGGCTGTGGGGGCACCAAGCCCTGCACCCCAAAGCCACGTGGTGCCAACACTGAAAGAGCCACGAGGGCACCCGGACATCTTCTTCGTCTGACACCACACCCCGGGGAGGGCCGAACCTTGCTTATGTTTATCACCTGCACAGCCTGGATCCCTGCACCAAATGCCCCCAGACACATCCCTCGGCTCACCAAGAAGCGGTTCAGCTCCATTCTTCCCTCTCAGGTGGCAGCTTCCCCGCTGGGCGAGGGACCTGAGGGGCAGGGCACCAGGCCCACAAGGCGGCCGGGGAGCCCGAAGTGGGCGTGGGCCTGCCGAGAGGTGAGGCCCTACGGGTCGCCACGACCTGTCCCGGGCGAAGCTGCCAGGCCTCTGCCTGTGCCTGGGGGCGCGGGGGGCGCGGGGGGCGCGACCCTCCCTGCCGGCCCGGCCCCGGGGCGCCCGGCCAGGTGAGCGCGAGCACCTCCCGCGGGGCGCGGCCGGCCTCCGCCCGGGTCTGCGCCGGGGATGCGCGGGGGCCCGGGCGCCGGCCGGGGCCCGCGACCCTCCCGGAAGCCGCGGCCGGGCGCGGGGCGGAGCCGCCTTTCCGCCGGAGGGCCGGGCCCGCGGCCGCGCTCGGGGCGGGGAGCCGGGCCGGGCCGGAAGCGCCGGCCGCCGGGCCTCACCTGCGCGCACCTGGGCCCGCCCGCCGCGCGCCGCCGGCTCCGAGGGACTCGGGGCCGCCTCGGGGCGCGACCCCCGCCCGGGCCAGGCGGCGGCCCGGCCGCGCTCGCCCCGCCCCGGCCCGGCCCGCCGTCCGCGCGCGCGCCCCGGGGAGGGCAGGGAGGCGGGGTGGGGAGGGAGCGGAGGGGAGGGCCGGGGGCGGGGCGGGCGCGGGCGGCGGCGGCGGCGCCCCCTCCCCGGACCTACCGGCGGCCGCGCTCCGGAAGCCGTGCCCGGTGGCTGGGCATCATGGGAATGGCACGGCCGAGTTCCGGGGGAGGCGCGCGGCCCGCCGGACCCCCGCCCGCAAGCGCGCGCCCACCTGCCGGCCGGCTGCGGGGCGCCCCCGCCCCCGCCCCCGCCCCCGCCCGGCCGCCGGCCCCGCGCGCCCCGCAGCTCCGCGCGCCCCGCAGCGCCCCCTCCCCGCGTCCCGCCCCGGGCGCCCGGGCTCGCTCCGGGCCGGGGCGCCCCCGCGCCGGGAGCTCGGGGGGGCTGACGTGTGACCCCGCCCGCCCTGCCGGAGGCGGGCCTGGCGCTGGGGGCCGCCCCGTCCCGGGGGAGCCGGCGCGGCGCGGGGAGCGCGCGCCCAGGGAGCGCTGGAAGGTGGGGAGCCGGAGGGGCGGTCCGTCCTGACGTTGGCGCTGGGATGACCGGCTGCAGTGTTACTAGAAGTTGCTCCGTGGGTGTCCACTGTGGGCCTGGCCCCGAGCCCGAGTGTGCACTGAGCTCCAGGTTGAGCCTGCCCTTGGCCCTGGAAGCCGCCACACCTCGGCCCCCCAAGCCCAGGTCCCCCAGGCTGCCGGCGCCAGGGCCGCTTTCTCTCCAGGAAAGCTGCCCAGTCCGCCAGCCGTGTGTGCCTTTAGCTGTGGCCCTTGCTTCTCAGTCTGCCCTTGCTCCCTCACCCCAGACTAAGAAATCAGGAACCCCAGGAGGCTGAGGATAGGCCAGTGACCCTCCCAGGGAAGCCGGGCAGGCAGGAGTCAACAAGGCAGCATGGCTCAGTCACTCAGGAACCGGTCTCTGAGCACCTGGGAGTGCGGGCCCTGGGCCTGGCCTGCGGGGCTGGGGTTCTGTGCTTGGGGGGCTGCATGGCTGGCCTTGTGCGCAGACCTGCAGCCTGGTTCTAACAGGAGCAGATGCATGCTAAAGGGACATCCCCGATGGCCTGTTTGCGAAGGGGAGGGGAGCTGGTCTTCTGAACCACCCCTCAGGTAAGTCAGGTTCTGTTTCTGCTCTCAGGCCACCTGCTCATGTCTCAGACACCCCTGCTCACAGCCTGTGTGCTGAAGGTGCTCCTCGGGGTCCCAGGGCGGGTGTGCTCAGAGCCTGGCTGGTGACAGAGGCAGATGGAAAGAAGACCCAGTGACCATCGGTCTGTATGTCCCCGTTGGCCTCCTTGGCCTCCACCCAGATGCCTCTGGGGGAGCTGGGGTTCCTTTCCTGTCTAGTAAGTTCCAGAGGTTTGACAGGATGAAAGCCAGAGGCTTTTTGTCCCAGGGGATAAGAAGGGGGGCATTTCTGAATTTGCCAGTCTGGGGGATTTGGGGGCCAAGCGTCAAGAAACCCATTAAATCACTGTTGTGATGCTTCCGTGAGTTGCTTTAATAAACCATATATTTTCGGGGCGCCTGGGTGGCTCAGTCGTTAAGCATCTGCCTTCGGCTCAGGTCATGATCCCGGGGTCCTGGGATCAAGCCCCGCATCAGGCTCCTGCTCAGTGGGAGGCCTGCTTCTCCCTCTCCCACTCCCCCTGCTTGTGTTCCCTCTCTCGCTGTGTCTCTGTCAAATAAATAAATAAAATCTTAAAAAAAAAAAAAAACCCATATATTTTCATTGTGAGAGTAATACTTGTTCATTACAAAGAGTTTGAGAAAAGGTATCTAATTAATAACCTAACTCTGCAGAGATATGGACTGTAACTATTTTGGCATGCTTCGTGACAGTTTTTAAACAGTACTGTGATGAACATCTTTGATGAAATGGTAGTCCTGCCCCCTGCCCCTTATCCACAGGGGATACGTTCCCAGACGCCCAGTGGCCACCTGAAACCACGGATAGTGCCGATCCCTCCACCGACTACGTTCTCTCCTACACGTACGTACCTGTGGTTAAGCTCAGCTTGTAAACTAGGCACAGGAAGGGAGTAACAACATGGCTAATAAGAAAGCGGAACGACAGTAAGAGTACGCCGTGGGAAAGTTACGTGGCCGTGGTCTCGCTCTCCGAATGTCACGTGGCCCTGTGCTCACCCTTCCTGGATGCGGTTAGAGGATGAGATGCCCACGTGGCGGGAGGATGCAGGTGAGGGGCGCAGGGGCGTGGTGCAGCGGGAGGCAGCTGCAGGCCTGAGCCTCCGTCTGAAGGAGGGTCATCTGCTTCTGGACCGTGGCCAGCGTGGGAACTGAGGTGAGGGGCTGCTGTGTGTCCTTGGAAGTGGCCTGAGTATGTCCTCGAGGTAGATTCCCAGAACAGACACTGCGGGGCCAAAGACTACCACGTATTTTGCCAAGGTGCCCTCCAGAGGCGCCGACTGATGCCATGTCCCCCCGCCGTGTCCCTGCAGCCCCTTGTCTCCCGCTGTCCACACTGCTCATTCCGTTAGGTCTTGGGGGTCTCGGAGAACAGGCTTTTTGTTGCTTTGATTTTCACGCCTTTGACTGCTGGTGATGTAGAGCATCTTTTGATTTTGCTGTTGGCCATTTGGAAGATTGCCCGTACGTGTTCCTGTGCATGTTTTGTTTTCCTCTTGGGCTCTGTGTCTTTTTCTTACTCTAGAGCTCTGTCCATTAAGGGCTTTAGCCCATCTCTCCCGTGTACTTGTGTGCATCACATCGATGTTTCAGTTCATCTTTTTAACTCTGGAATTCACCTTTTGTTTGTGATGCACTGATGTTCAATGTGTGCGTATCCAAATCTATCAGGTTTCCTGATATGGGTTCTGGCTTTGGGATGAGACCTAGGGTAGCTTTCACCATACCAAGATTTCATAAGTGTTCACCAGTTGATGGCTAAATTTCAAAATCAGAGAGCTGTGTAAGACACAAGGGGGACGGGAGTTCATCTGAGGAAATCAGAAGCCAAATGTGCAGTGGGGAAGAAACAGTCTCTTCAAAGGGAGAGCACTTTCTCCACTTCTGTCTGAAGGCATGACCTTCAAATACATATGGACCACCCCACGCATGCATGCACCCACACACACATGCACGTACCCACACCCCCACATGCACGCACACATGCACGCACCCACATGTGTTTTTAACTTTTGGAAGCTTTACCTCTTGCACATTGTAGGGTCTTGAAGGGAAGAATGAGAAGAGGCGTCTGTTTTTTATCAAAACTCTCCTGTTGTTTCGCCTGGGTGGCTCGGTCAGTTAAATGACTGACTCTTGGTTTCAGCTCAGGTCATGATGTCAGGGTGGGATTGAGCCGCATGTCAGGTTCTACACGCAGCGTGGAGTTTGCTTGAGATTCTCTTTTCCTCTCCCTCTGCCCCTCCTCCCCTTGCTTGCACTCTCTAAAACAAATAAATAATTCTTTAAAAACAAACAAACAAAAAAACCTCTCTAGTCCTAAGAGGTGTTGGCTTTGGTGTTGGGAACTCGGGTTTCCCCTCTAAATGGGCTCCTGACTGCAGGTTTGGGTCCCCCAGAGCCCACAGGCTGTCTCCCCACTGTTCTTGCAATAGTGGGGTCCCTTTCCTCCCCCCAAGGGACCTCTGTTCCGCCCAGGCCCAGTGCTTCCAGGATAGTCCGTGGCTGTGCTTTCCTCTGGGTGGGCCACTGTGGGAACAGGGATAGCAGTGGTGGGGTATCTGGTCAGGTTCTGGGGCCAATCACTGCTCCCCTCTGGTTTTCCGTTTGTCCTTCTGTCACGGGAGTGGAGGATCCCAAGGGAACTTCCTGTTACTCTCCATACACCTCCAGATGTATGGGATGGCCAGGCCCCGGGGACCAGAGTCCATGCTGGTAGAGACGCCAGGGCCTTATATTCAGATCTGTTTCCCTTCACAGAGTTAATGATGCTCTCATAAACTCAAATGAAAGAAGGCACCCCCAACTCCAGGAAGTTTGACAGTCCCCGGAGGCCCTGGGGGACGGCACCCCCCCCACCCCGTGATGCTGCATCCCTGCCTCCGCGAAATGTGAAATGCACTGGCCCCACTTTGAGGAGCTGGCCTGAGGTCACGCTCACACAGCTCATACAGGGGCATCTCTACCCAGACTGCTTTTGGCTCATCAATGCGAAGGACCCTCAAGGACCACCAGCAGGGCCCGTGACGTAAGTGTGGCGCATGCCTCGCTGGCAAAGAATGAGGTCTGCCCTTGTGCTCCAGGGGGCAGGGGGGAGCAGGTGGAGGTGAAGCCTTCCGCAGGTTGTGGCAGGAGGCTGGACAGACTCCCATTCTCAGGCTGTGGGGAGCGGTCCGCGGAGGGGGCAGCGCCCAGTTGTTGTATTGTTCCTGCTGACTTCTCTCACGCTCTTCTCATTCTGAAGTCATGGGTGTTTTTGCTTTCATACACACAGAACTTAGGCGAGGTATTTGATGCGCACGGATGAGTGCTTCTGTGCGCAGGGGACCGCCGTGGTATGCGTGCCCCTCCCCGAGCCAGGGACGGGGGCTCCGCCCGCTCCGGCCCATCTTTGGAAATTCTCTTTCTCCCAAACAACTGTAAAAATCTGTCACCTCAGGAATGGCTCTTAATGACTTCGTTCCGTTTTATTTCTTGAGTGTCGGGTTCTTAGAATCATCCTGGCATGAATTTTCCCCAGTTTATCACTTACCACTTCAGGGGCCAACGTGATGCTAAGATTGCCTATTTACAAGGTGGTGTCCAACACGAGAGCGCAACGGAAGCCTCCTGAGATGACACTGTTCCGAGGGTCCCGTGCGTCCAAAGTGGGAAACGAGGACGTGGCACCTCACATTTATTCCGGAGGAAGCAGGGTATTTTCCAATTCAAGATCTGAGGGTAAAATGATTTTCTCGCTCTGATTCTTGGCAGAAGATGGGGTGGGTGGAACCCCTTAGCGGGCGGTGTTGGCAAGTTTGCTCCTATCTTGGGGGCGGCGCTGGGGGGCACAGGGCTGGGATGGGGGGCCCTTGCCAGGTGGGAAAAACGTGCTGAGAAAAGGCAAAATGGACAAAGACTATAGCCGCCTTCAGACACCCCTGACCTGCGGAGCCCCGGGACTGGAGCAGCCCCTCTGCACAAGGAGAAGTGTGGGCAGGGGCTCAGTGTGGGGCCCCAAGATGCAGGGCTGGTTGGGGGGCTGTGCTGTGGACGCAACAGAGATCGGCTCAGGGGAGGCGAGTGGCCCGGCTTTCGCACCCCTGCCCAGGGGCCACGGTGGCAGGTGGGCTGTCCCCGCTCAGCGCCCCTGCTCAGCCCCGCAAGGGGCTGGTCCACGCGCTCAGTCTTCCTTAGACATTTTCTCCAAACCACGCTCAGTGGAAGAGGCTGCTGAAAATGGGTCAAGAAATTATAAGATTTACGTAGATCTAGCTGAGATATATAAACCTGAAATGGAATTTTAACAGTCCAGATTCACACGACAGCAAACGTGATGCGAGAAACAAATTCTGGCGAAACTTGGCCCGCGGCCGGGGAGGGCTCCGTGCTCCTGGGCACCAGCGAGGAGTGAACGTGAGACAGTCGTCACCCAGGGCTCGAAAAATTTCCCCCACATCCACAGAAAATATTCTATTTCAGCTCTCCTTTGGCAGAAAGGAGAGGTAATCTGCTGCACACTCTCCTAGGTTTGGAAAGGCAACACAGAAAATGTTAAGATTTAAAATTTATATATTTTTTTATATTTTTATATGCTTTTAAAGTTTTATGTCTGTAAAGAAGTCTACTTATATCCCGAATCACGTATTCCCTTTCTGAGATGTGGGATGGTAAGAAGTATCCTGCAGGCCTGGTAAAGGGCTCTGGGTCCATTGTAGTGACCCACAGGGGCCACTGGGGGGCAGGAGGGGCTTCTCGGGGAGCTGTGCCGTCTATGTCCTCAGAGGCCGGTCCACGACCTGAAGCCTGTGGAGAGGTGACCATCCAGGAGAGAGAAGCGAGGGGCGCCTGGGTGGCTCAGTCGGTGAAGCGTCTGCCTTCGGCTCAGGTCATGATCTCAGGGTCGTGGGATCGAGCCCCACATCGGGCTCCCTGCTCAGTGGGGAGCCTGCTTCTCCCTCTGACCCTCGCCCCTCTTGTGCTCTCTCTCACTCTCTTGCTCTCTCTCAAATAAATAAATCTTAAAAAAAAAAAAAAAAGGAGAGAGAAGCGGGAGACCAGGCCCCTCCTGATTCCCAAAGGCCCTAACTTCAAACTAACTCCACCTTCAGAGATATTCCCCCCACAGCACATTTTGGGAATATGTGGGAATGTCCCTCCCCATGCCTGACTTGAAGAAGCGTCATTCATGTGTAGACACAGGCTCAAGAGGTCTGCGCTGCCGGTGGGGATCTGCTGGGCTGTGTTAGGAGGGGGCACGGCGTGAGGTGTCAGTGTGTGGGTGTAGACGAAGCTCCGTATCAGGGTGGGCTGCCTTGCATGCTCCCTGGCCCCGGCCCCATCTTCCCCACCATGTGATGCATGTCACTCAGCTGCTGGTTGTGCCCGGGAAGCTCTTGAGGGGACCAAGCACAGAGGCGGTGGGAAGCCGAGGGTGAGGAAGGAGCTGGGTGGGTGCGGAGCCAGGTGCCGCGTGGGGTAGGGTTCCTCTTGTGGGGTTGCCCTGGGTGTCGGGCCTCGTGGTCCCTTCCAGGTGGGGCAGTGTTCCACCTGCTTGAGTGTGACAAGAGAGCTTGCTCATGCTTCAGACCCCAGGACCCGGGCTCCGGTGTGCTCATCCACCCGCCCGACACCCCTCAACGCCAGGAAGGAGAGGAAGCTGCCGGCACCAGGCCCCTGCGGAGATGGTACCTTCTGCTGTTTCCGTAGCAGACGAGCCCCGTTATAAAAGCCAAGTGCAGAGCTGGACATTCTGGAACCGTGGTCTGCGGGCTCCTCGGAGGAGGGGTTCTGCCACCGTACGATCTGACAGCAAGGGAGAAGTGAAAGCCCTGGGAGCCCGAGGGAGAGAAGCCCCGACCTGGGCCGTGCCGCTGAGTGACGCGCTGTTCGCTCAGCGACTTGGGCAGAGGTGACTTCCCCCCCCCTTCCTGAGTGCTGCCCACCTGCAGATGGCCCAGAAGGCTGCCCCCCTTCTGTCCCCGATGCCCCGCGCACGGGAAGGTGCCCGGGGAGTGGGGCTCAGCACGGACGCAGGCGCCGAAGCAGGTCGCTGGCTGGGGGCGAGGCGGCAGCGCCGGGTGTTGGATCCCAGGCCACCGCTGTCACCAAGGACCAAAGGGGGAGTGCTGTGCAGGCTTCTTGCTGAGAAGCCCCTCCTGCTCGGAGCGCTGGGGCTGCTGTGCTATCCGAGGTGGTCCTCGGGGCTGAAGGGGCTGCTGTGAGCACAGCTGAGAGGCAGCTGCCCTGACCTGGCCTCATGCAGGCGGGACTCCCCCTTGCACCTCGCGGAAGCCCGGGCTCTGAAAGCTGGGGCCGCACAGAGAGGCTGGCCGGTCAGCTGGCGTCTGCTCTGCGGCTCTTCCCAATCGCTTTGGCTGAAGCGCTGCACTTCAGGCCCCAGAAGAGGCCTGCAGTCTGGCTGGGGACCTTCCCACGGCGCCCACGCTGGTGTTCGTGTCCCGCCGCGGAGAACGTCACTTCCAATGCCCTGGAAGACCCTGCCTCAGCCCCCAGGACTGAGGAAGCAAAGGAACCAGGAACTGATATTTGTGACTGCAGGAGAGACCTGCTTCTCGGAACTTCCCCCGAGGGATCCAGAGCTGCCCGAGGCCCTTCCCGAGAATCGTCTGGGCCCACCGCCCTGGCTGAAGACAGAGCTGCCGCGGGGCTGCCCGTCCTTAGGGGCCTAGAGGCCCCAGGCTTTAAGGGCAGGCTGACGGCAGACGGAGCTCCATTCAACGTGTCCTGCTGTGACCAGGACTCTCATCCTGTCTCAAAAATGTACAAGCTTAGGGCCCCTGGGTGGCTCAGTCGTTAAGCGTCTGCCTTCGGCTCAGGTCATGATCCCAGGGTCCTGGGATCGAGCCCCACATCGGGCTCTCTCCTCGGCGGGAGGCCTGCTTCTCCCTCTCCCACTCCCACTCCCGCTGCTTGTGTTCCTGCTCTTGCTATCTCTGTCTCTGTCAAATAAATAAATAAAATCTTTAAAAAAAAAAAAATGTACAAGCTTAGGCAATAGCTTCTGCCTGCTGAGGGAGGTCTCCTTCACCGGAGAGGGGCCGCAGACGCTCTCCTGCTGGCCACTCAAAAAAAATAGAGTGAGTGAGTAAGGCTTGAGGAGGCCCGCGCAGGCCAGAGATGGGACGACCGAGTTTCCGTAAAGACCATCGCAAGGGACCAAAGCGCCCAAGTAAGTTTAAACCCATGAATTCACGATAACATTTTTTAAAAAGCCAAATTGGTCACCTCTGGAGGATAACTGGAATCAGGTCCTTATCTGGAAGGCAGGCAAGTGACGAGAAGAGTCCGCATTTTTCCTGCCTTTCTCACGTGAACTGGGCCGGAGGGTAGCTGCAGTATGTGGGGGAGGGCTTTCTTTATTCAGGTATTCCAGCTACCAAGTGTGAGAGGAATGACAGCATTAGGACATCACCATCTTGCAACTCGTGAATTATTGAGGGTAGGGAACGGCGGCCGCTGGCCTGGAAAGAAAGGGATCATCAGAACTTCAGTGCCCCCGATGGAGAACACGGCAGCCCCAACGGGTGGCCGAGGGATGGGCCGGAGTGTGACGGAGACCCTGGCCCCAGCTGCCACCTTGTGGGAAGCCCACAGGCCAGGGCCACGCGGAGCTGCGTGCTGAGGGGGCGGCCGGCAGCGCCCAGACCGTGGGGACACGGCAGGGGGGCCGGCTCTCCACCAGACCAACTGCAGCAGAAGGGAGGGCTGGAGAAGGCTCTGGGTGCTTCACAGGATTGCTGTCCCCTCCTCACTGCCAGGGACGCAGGGGTCCTCCCACGTCTTACACTGCAGGGGCTCCTGGAGGGGAAGCCCTTGGAAGTGTGGGTCCCCGGACTTCCCAGCTCACTGCCCCACACGCAGCCTGCAGCCTCCAGAATTCGCGTCCTCATCTTGCTCTTGCTCTGTGTGTGGGGTCTCCGGGTCCTCCTGTGCACCTTTTGGATTGGGTCTCTCTGTTTTTCCTGTTTCTCTCCTGCTTTCCATCTATTTATCATGTCCTTTCTTCTACCCACTTGAGTTGTTTGCTCTTCCTTGCTGGCTTTTTAAGAACGAATGGGGCTCTGACCCCTGTGTGCTACCCACCCTGCCTGTCGCCCAGACTCTGCGGCTGGGAGAAGTCTGGAAGTAGGGGGTGCAGCCAGGAGTGTTTTCATGCCCACCGAGTCGAGGTATGGGGCTTGCTGAAGTAGGAAGGGGAGTCTTAAGTCCTGGGAAGGGCTTCACAGACCATCTGGAAGCCCCCTGCCCTTACGAGGGAGGATCTTAGCCGCGAAGTCGGCGTCCTAAGTCAAACCCGTGCACATAACCACGGTCACCACCCACAACATTCTGACTTATATTTAACAAGTTCAAGTTTATGGACTTGGGACACAATTGGGTTTCCTTTAAAAGCAGTAAAAGAAGAAAAAGTGAAGGAGATCTGACACCCAAAGGGGAGAATGTCCTTGTGCGGAGAGCTCTCTTACGCAGGGCCTGGGCACCCGACACTGAGGAGCAGGGTCGACAGCAACAGGAGCTCTCTGCCGATCCCACCCGAGCCCACGGCACCAGCCCAAGCCTCCCCGCCTGGCCTGGTTGGCAGCGTTGACCTCTGCTGATCAGGTAACTCCTTAGGCATGATTTGTCCTGTCTTAGCTCCAGCTGTGGATGTCTTGCTACAAAGCCCTCGGGGCACCATCAGTGTGTCCTCGGGGTCCAGGTTGGAGAAGTTCGTGCGGCCCATTGCCTTACGCTCTCCCCCAGCGTGACTTCCAAGGCTGGGTTGACGGACCACAG